TCTTGGCTGGCAGTTTTTTTGCATATCGCCCTGATTAGCCAATGGGAAGGGTATCGGTCGTACGCCCATTACCATGTTTCTCTTTTATTAGATAGGATGGGTTTCCACATTTTGCCTATTACGAATAATATTGCTATGAATATTTGTGAACAAGTTTCCTTGTGAATGCATTTCCTTTTTCTTGGGTACAGGCATACCTGGGAGATATATTGCGGGTTTGGTTCCAGACCACTTACTTTATTAGTAAGTATCACATAAAGCAAGTCATAATCTTTTTGCTGGTGGAGGGTCTTGCCTTTAATTTATGAAAAATGCAACATTTTTGAAGCACAAGAAAGAGATACACAATAAGATGAGGTATGCCTGTATAGATCTAGGAGTGGTATTCCTGGATCATATGGTAATTCTATGTTTCACTTATTGAGGAACTGCCAAACTTTTCCATAGCAGCTACACTGTTTTATATTTCCACTTGCAATGTATGAAGATACAAATTTTTTCATATCCTTGCCAACACTTAGTATTGCTTATCTTTTTATTGTATTCATCCTTCTGAGTGTGAATTGATATCTCTTTGTGATTTTAATTTGTATTTCCTTGATAGCTAATAATGTTGAGCATCTTTTCATGTGCTTTTTTGGGGTATTTGTACATCTTGACAGAAATATCTGTTTAAGCCTATTGCCTGTTTTTAAATTTGATTTTTTTTTAAGTTGTAAAGGTTCTTTTTTGTTGTTTAAGTTTCTTAGTGCATTTATTGGTCTGACATTGGCTAATAAAATTATATAAGTTTCAGGTGCACAATCCTATAATACATAAATAAATCACCTGTATTTTGTATTGTGTGTTCACCACCCCAAGTCAAGTGTTCTTCACCATTGAGTGCAATGACTATGTTGTAGGACACGTGAAGCAAAAGGGAAGGAAGTAGGCAGCACAGAGCAGTTACTTCTGCCCTTATAGAAATTCTCCCAATGGGTTGCGTAAGGAATCTCTCCCCCACACCTTCCCCTTGTGTAAGGGTTTCATAAGCAGATTGGACCCTTAGAAAATGTGCAAGTTAAATCCCACCTCCATTTGACAAAAGGGAAAAAAACAAGCCTATTAATGCCAGATATGTTTTTGATTTTTATATTGCTTGCGTCCTTTTGCCTTAGTAAAAAAATTTTTTTCTAGTTCCTTAAAAGAAAAGGTATTTGTTTTAGCTCTCTGTAGGAAGTAACTGTGATAAGCTTAACTGGGAAAAATGTTTCTGTCTTTGACTAATATCCTAAATACTTTTTACAACTGACTTTGAATAGCCCTCTCTTGTTCAAAGACATAAAGTAATACACATATTTGATATTTTCACTTATAACAACTGAAGAATTAGGCACCAAATATGAGTGTACAGTATAATCTTTTGAGTTTTTTTCTAAGGTCTTATTAAACTAAATACAATTTCAGTGTTTTATAATTTAGGTTGCATTTAACTAAGACTTCAGTTTTATTTTTATAGTGAATTGTGTGGCTTACACCTACTATATCACTAGAACTGATAATATTTTCTAGTGAGATTTTCGGTAGTCTTTTAAAGTAATTTCATACGTGCCATGAATCTGAGGTCCTGTAATCTATTTGACACAGTAGTACTTGTTTAGCTTGCAAACTGTAGGAAAAGTAATTCTTTTCAGTCAAGATTGGTTTTTGGATTTGTTTTTGGAATTCTTGAATAGTCAATGCATTTTATTAGTACATGGTAACAAGCAAAGCTCTGTGGCAAGGAATAAATAAGAGGCCTTAGGAATTGGATTTAAATGGGTCGCTTCCCATTTTGTATGCTTTTTAAAATACAAAATAGTTAATTTTTTTAAAACTTGGGAAGTATTACTGTAGTTAAATATTTCAAATAAATATTGTTGTAGGTTCTCACAATTCAAAGTAGTTTATTTGCTCCAGAAAGCATATGGCATTTGTGCAGAATGCTTACATTTGAAATGTGGAGTGAATGAAATGAAGAGTACAATGTAGGGAATATAAGAGTTTTGACTAGTTTAACTTCCTTGCTTGTTAAAAGAAAATTTATAGCAACTTTCAAATTTAGTAATACTTAAAACTCTGTTAATTTTTTATAGTATTATTTAGTCTTTTTTTAACATTTGAAAAAAGTAAATAGAGAATTGTTTTAAATGTTTGAGAGTTAGATGTCAGTGTTTCTTAATCACTCTCTACTGTTTTTTTGCTCTGATTTAAAAAAAGCCAGCTATATTTGACATACTAGAGGCCTGGTGCACGAATTCATGCACTAGTGGGGGGGTCCCTCAGCCTGGCCTGCGGGATCAGGCCAGAACTGGCTCTCTGACATCCCCCGAGGGGTCATGGATTGCAAGAGGGCACAGGCCAGGCCAAGGAACCCCAACGGTGCTCGATCAGGGCCGGGAATGGACATGGAAGGTTGGCTCTCTGACATCCCCCGAGGGGTCATGGATGGCAAGAGGGCACAGGCCAGGCTGAGGGACCCCACCGGTGCACAACCAGGGCTGGGGAGGGATCGCGGGAGGGCCCCAGGGGGTGTCCAGCCCATCTCCCTCAGTCCTGATTGGCCAGACCCCAGCAGCAAGCTAACCTACCGGTCAGAGCATCTGCCCCCGTGGTGGTCAGTGCACATCATAGCAACTGGTCGACAAGTCGACTGTCTGCCCCCTGGTAGTCAGTGCACATCATAGCGAGCGGTTGAGTGGCCTTAGCGTATCATTAGCATATGACACTTTGAATGGTTGAACGGCCAACCGGTCAACCAGACACTTAGCAAGCATATTAGGCTTTTATTATATAGGATTATATTGGTTTCTACTCTATTGTTAATGAAAACTTTGGCAGGTTGACAACTCCAGTAGCACATTTTATCCACAAAACAGCCTAAGGCCATCTGAATTTTCTTGGTAGATTTTTACTCTTTGTTTTTATTAGACAGAATTTTGGAGTGGCACACCATGGTGAATCATTCCAGAATGCCTATCATAGGTTTCTCTCTTTGTTATATATGAATAAGTTTATAATGTTTTTCTTCATTGTAAGAACATCAATGTGTTTTTCAGACTTATGATCTAGAATCAAGTCTGTGTTTTTAAGAAGCTTGCTTTTAAAGAATTTTTTTTTTGTACAGTTACATCTTGGTTTACTTCTTAATTTATTTGGTCATATTTATTTTCTGTTTACTTTCAAAATAATGTTGACAAATTCGTCACAGAGGAATAATCTAACCAAAGCAAAAATATTACTTTAAAAGGCATTGACAGTATTAAAGTCACATTTAAGGGATCATTTTTACTTCATTAATAAGCATTATGTTCATTCCCTAATATTATTATAAAACACAAAATTAATACTTTTCTAGTAATGTTTGAGAAGTTACAGACTTCTGGAAAATGATGTATATTTATGTTGGTAGTCAAAAGGAATCTAAGGAGCTTTCAAATTTGTAAGAATTTTAATTTCAAGTTAAATTTTGAAGTATTTTATGTTGGTACTCTGAGAAGCATTTGTAAGACCTTTATTAGCAAATCATCTATCATTGAATATAACACATTTTGTAGCTAAATATAAGGAATTATTTTTTGTAATTTATTAGAAAATGCATTGTGCTGTGTGCTTATATCCACAAATCTGTAAACAGTAACACATCCATAGTGACTATATTGTGGTTTCCCTTCACAGATTTCAAGTTGTGCTAGTACAACCATATAAATAATTAATACCTGAAGTCTAAATGTAACATGGACATTAACAGTGATGACAGATAAATGCAGACGCTTGGGAATCACATACTAGGCGAAACACTTTCAAAAAGGTAAGAAAAATGTAATCTTAATTAAGGCTAAGCAGGCTGTAGTATTAGTAGAAGTAATTGACTAAAGTTCGTTTTTCATTGTATGAGATTATTTAGAAACACATCTGCACAATCCTATTTTAATACTTGTAGAACTCAGCTGTTAAGTATCAGTTCTTCTGTGGAAATAACAATTGCAGATGTTTCTGCCTGGTAAATATAATGGATGATGTTCCTATAGCAAATCCTATACAAAAAAGTAGTAACCTGGTTGATTAGAACTTGATAGAATGCTAGATTTGGTGTATCAGTGTATACTCAAGACACATCTTATATTGTGGATCCTCTTTGTCTCTTATGATTGCCATCACCACCATGCACTATAGGATGCAATATTTTGCCATGTTTGTGAAAGGTTTTCACTGTTTGAGTACAAAGGAGTTGGCAGTTGGAATCTTTGCTTTAAGAAGAGTGAATTTTCATGTTAAGGGTTACTTTTTATAGGACCATGTTTTTACTGTTAATTTCACTGTTAACCTTCCTCGTGTTAATTTAAAACATTTTATTTAAATGTAGTATTAAGTTATTTTACTTAGTTAATTTTCCTACCTTTTACTTTTCAATAATTTACAAGGCATATTTGGGAGAGGTTGTGTCTACTGATATTAGATATCAACCCTGTTCACTTCCTAGCCGACTAAAACATTATCTAATTTTACTAAGCAGTAACTCTGGTTTACAAAGCTTGATAAATTGCATTAGTTTTAAAAAGTAAACCTTTACCGAAAATAGTGGCACTTTTAGAATGTTTAGTTTTATGTTTAGAATAAAGGGACAATTTCCATCATAAACATCACTAGTCTTTTTCCTGGTCTTTCTCCTTGTTTCCAAATGGACATTCATAATAATTCATTTTAGTCAGGTTCTCTGAAAAAGATATCATAATACATTATAATAAAATAAAACTGTAATTAGCCAAACTGACCAAGAAATGGAATTTAATTAAGGTAATTAAAATATCTGGCCAACTGGGTACTAAAACCAGAAAATCCTTATTGGTTTTGTCCTTGTTGAAAATCCATATGCCAAAATAGTAGAAATTTCCCTTTATAATAGTCTTGTAGCACTTCAATAATTATCAAGGTTATCATGTACATATAGAAGACTTGGTTGATTAGTTGGTGTGCATAACCTAAATTATTTTTCTTGTTCAATTCCCAGTTTTGTACATGAAGGCTAAAATTTGGGAAAGGCTTTTAGAATAAGAGTTTATAGATTCTGTATGAGGACTTGTATCATGGGCAGTCTTTGGGTCATCTCCAAAAAATACTGCCTGAGACTCTAGAAAAAGAACTAAGTCAAAATTTGACTCAAACTAATATTGAGTTGTTGCAAGGATTTAGTATATGTTAAGCTTTTCTGTTGTTGTTGGTTCCTAAAGATCTTTTCCAGTTTCTTAGTATCTCTGAGGCTATAGTCACCAAGAAGTACCAACAATATTACTGTGAACAGATATTCTGTTACTTGCTATTTCCTCTTATTGTAGAAGGAGTATATCTATTAGCACAAGTTAATTTGCTTCTTTAATTTTTTTCATTATTTTATTTTAAAGAAAGGAATTTAGGAGGTTCTAGTATTCTCCATGGCTGAAGCTGAGAGTCTGAAATCCTGATGCTTAAGCTCTATTCTAGATCATAGCTCCAACTCCTTCAGGATATAAGGAAAAGAGATAATATTTCCACAATGATAGATCTTTGGTTGTACAGGTAAGTTATTTAGTTTTGCAGTAGTGAAGATATCTACAGATTGATTTTTTTTTTGAGGGGGGAACTTATTTGTCTATAGTCTGCATGGAAAATTATACAGTTCATAGAAATGTGGAGCTATAGGGAATGGGATGGGGATGAAATATTTTCTCACTCTCTTTCCAACAGGAGCATAAATGAAGTGGCTAATACATTGCAATCTCTAGAGCATATTTGACACCCTACGTATTTTTGATTCAAGGTCATTATGAAATTTCTTTACTTCTCTTTGTTCCCTGTTGCCACTTAAAGTGGGTATTCATTCAGCTCTATCCATCCATCATCTATCAATCGTATATCTGTTTCTCTTAATGGGAAAGAGGAGATCTTTTATGCAAGGCAATCCATAACAGAGTTACCAACCTTCAGGGAGGTGAATATTAAGAATAAGTTGAATTGCATAGGTGGTTCCCAGGTTTCACTCTCCTATATTAAACTTACAGATACTTTTAACCTGATAGAAATAGTGGTAATTGCTTGGCTGAAGAAATGTGTCTTAAAAGAATTGTGTGACAGGATAGTCTGAACTATCATTAAACAGTTCATTCTTATGTTCTAAACCAGCGATTTTTTAACCCTTTTCACCCCATGGCACACATAAACTAATTACTAAAATTCTGCGGCATACCAAAAACTATTTTTTTTTTTTGCAGTCTGACAAAAAAAATAGGTGTAATTTTGATTCATCTATAATGAATAGCTGATGTCCTGTTGGCTGTTTTTATTTTTTATTTTGACAATCTAAGGGAAAAGAGGTCAGTGCCCCTAAGTAAATAGTCAGGTTTGAGTGTTTTAAAAATTCCTTTATTTTATTTTTTCATCACCATTTATCCCCACACTCCCTGTTCCATCTTCATCCATCCCTTCCTCCTGCAATCACCGCCCAATTGTCCCTCTCCATGAGTTCGTTCTTTTTTTTTCTCTCACTCTCTCTACCCCCTTAACTCCTCTTCCCCCCTAAGAACTGTCGGTCTGAAAATCGCTGTTCTAGACAGAAAGAAAAATAAAATAACCATATTCATTACATTTTTCAGTTGCTCTTTTTTGCTTTTCACGTTGGTTTGTCTACCTGGTATCATGACCAGTTTCTTAAACATTATTCATTCCAAAAACTAAATATTATTGTAATAAATGTCAGCTAGAACATTGTTATTAATGGAGAATTGATTACCAGTCCCTCAATCCCCAAAATGAACTGTTCTACTTTGATAATTATAGTAGGAACAAAAAATTACAGGCAGTGTCTTTGAAATATCATCTTGAGGTTTCTTTTTCTTAAGTAAAGGTGCTAGCTGGAGTAGTGTTGCATTAGGTGGACCATTTTAGTTTAATCTTTATTATTCCTTTCAGTTCTTATTGATGTACTTCTGAGGTGTTCACAGGGGCTAGAAATTTATGATCTGAAACATAGCTAATACTGTTTTAGAACCCTATTAAATTTTAGATAAAAGTATATTCAAATTGGGGGAAGAGTAGTTCCAACAGAAAATAAATGAGTGAGATATGTGGAATTTGGGGTAGGATTTAGGGCTTAATATGAAAGGAGAGGCTGAAATTTGATTGATAGCTGCCCTTCTCAGATAAGCCCCTCAAATAGGTTGAAAACTTAATGATGGTACAAAAGAGAGGAAGGGAGTCAATTTAGTTCTAATGATTCATTACATTCTTTTCTCTGTATTCTAGTAAGTGTCATCATATTCATTAGTGGTGGATAACATATAGGGAAAACTTTGTTCTAGTTGCTAGATTGGGTTTTGCTCAGATGAATATGTTAACTAACAGTTTCCTTTAATTCTAAAACTAAAGTGATTGAATTTTCAGTTCCAATAGGGTGATTGCTAAGGATTTCATCTCGTGCCTCCTATTTCATTACCTAGCAAGAGTCTTTTCTGAGATATACTGTTTTATAACTGAGTTTCTTTCTGTTCCTTTAGCAACTTAAATTTTGTCAGAAATACAATTTTGTGCTCCAAAGAAATTCTCTTAATTTCTTCAGTGACTGTATTATGCAGCTAAAATGAAGGAAACAATTGCTTTAGTCTATAATACTTTGCTAACCATGGCAAAATCATGCTGTGGTTGAGAGAATCAGGACTTTCTTTTGTCCCTTTCTCGTCACTGAATTTTGTACTCAGTTTATCAGGTAACTACAGAAAGTGTATGCCTTTATGAATGCCTGTCCAAAGTAGAAAAGGTAAAGAAAAAAGGTAGAACAGAAGAAAGATCATGAGAGGGAAGACTATTACAACATCATTTACTTTGCACTGGCCAGTGTGGCTCGGTTGGGTATTGTCCTATGCATTCAAAGGTCACGGGTTCAATTCCCGGTCAGGGGACGTGCCTGGGTTTTGGGCTTAATCCCCAGTGAGATACGTGCAGGAGGCAGCCAATCGATGTTTTGCTCTCACATTGATGCTTCTCTCACTTTTCCTCTCCCTTCCTCTCTCTCTAAAAATAAATGTTTAAAAAAATCTTTTAAAATAAATAAAATAAAAATATTAAAGTTATCATTTAACTCTAGTCCTCAGAATTTTAAGCAATTTATTACCTTATGTTAATTTCAGGCAAGAGATTTTTACAATCCTCTATTTGGTGCTTCCTTTGCCAAAGAGATTATGGCTTTATAAATTTTTTTTATTATTGGTATCAAATAAGGAATCAGAGGATATATTATAAATAAGTCTAATTTAGTTTGAAACTTGATGACACTGTCATTTTAATATAATACTGTCAGGATGTAGTAGTCTTAAGGCACTGCTTCTCAAACCCTCAGAGATACATAAATTACCTGGGAATCTGATTAATTGGTAAGTTTGGGGCAGGGCCTGATATTATGCATTTCTAATAAGCTTGCAGGAGATGCCCATGATATCATGCTGGTCCTCAGGCTACACTTTGAATTGCAAAAATTTGAGATACCAAAAGGTCTTTGTTATAAAACCAGTTTCACTTTAAATATGGCCCAATAGCACAGGATTTGAGAATGGAATAAAAACATTTTTAGTAAAAGAAACAAAAAGGTTTAATCTTTTCTTTTAATCAGTGTTTTGATCACTAGATGGTGGGGAAATGAAATAGGCCCTAACCCAGTGATGGCGAACCTTTTGAGCTTGGCATCTCTGCATTTTGAAAAACCCTAACTTAACTCTGGTGCTGTGTCACATATAGAAATTTTTTGATATTTGCAACCATAGTAAAACAAAGATTTATATTTTTGATATTTATTTTATATATTTAAATGCCATTTAACAAAGAAAAATCAACCAAAAAAATGAGTTCGGGTGTCACCTCTGACACACGTGTCATAAGTTCGCCATCACTGCCCTACCCTGTGGTGTTAACCTGTGGTGTTTTATAATTATATATATATATTTATAGTACTTCTGGGTACTACTGCTACTAATATGCTTATTTTATTAATAAGGATAATGCAGGGATTTTGCTCTTATTCAGATTAACATAGAAAGAAGGGCTAGGAATGTTCATTGGAATCATTTGTGATTTATATGCCCTTACTTGATATCACATTTTAAAAAGTAAAGATTACCAGTTTTTTTGTGTGTGTTTGTTAAGTGTTACTATTTTCAATATTATATTTGAGCCATAAATTATGAATATAATCAAATTTGCATCAATGATATTTGCATTTGATTTTATAATTCATTTGTTTTCTTTGCATATTTATATAGGTATTTAATATTTAAAAATCAGTCACCTTTTAAGATTGAGAGGTCCAAGTTTGGGTATATGAGAAAAATAAATTATATTAAATTTTTTAGTTCGTGCTTTTAGGAAAAATTCAAAATTAAATTTTTTTGTAATTAAAAGTGGATATTTATGGGTCATACAGTGTTTATTATATGTGAATAAAAATAAGAGAATGTAATCTTAATATGATTTTAACAAAAGAGAATTAAATGTCAGGTTCCTCTAATGAATCCCAAAACAGTAAAAGTTTACTGTGAGGAATGTATTTCTAAGTTCTGATTGGCATCCCACACTTATTCATGTGATTGCTATGAACTTCTCTAGAACAAATTTTCATGCTTTAATCCCAGAACTGGTTTTATGATTGTTGTAAAATTTTTAAAATTTAATTAGAAATTTAAAAGTATGCCATACTCTATGAAACAAAACTACATTCGGCCAACTTACATTTAATATGTTAATGGGTACTTTCTCACTCAGTTCATTTGCCAACAGGCAGGAACAGTAAGACAGTTGCTTTTAATGTTTCTCTTTCTGTTTGTGATAACAAGTTACTGTGCATTTTATGGTCCTTCGTAACCTTTCCTGTTACATACTTCCAATTGAGACAAAGAACAAATTGTATATTTGATTTGCGGTGGTAGGGGTAGAATGGCATTTGGGGGGTTAGAGTTAGGCTGAAGGATGGCAGAAAGGAAGAGGGAGAGGGGAGAGGGACGCTGAGAAACTTTGTACCACAGCCATTTTTTACTTTTTTTTCTGTCTATCCTGCACCCTAGTTAGAAGTTAGACAGTGAAGTGGCAAAGTATCTTATGAAAGCTAAACAGAGGAGCAGAAGAATGGAGACTTAAAATGTTAACAGCTCCTTTATTCTCCATGAGAGAGCCTTTGGGAAATAACCACTAAATCCCTCAGAGTTTTTTCAATTTTCCTTACATATTTATTTTAGGAATACCAAGCATTCACACCAGAAAATGCTCATCTCCCCAATATGCTTTAAAACTGTGGCATACTCACATGTATAGGAGTTCAAAGAAGGAAAAGATGGGGTTATAAGTACACTCCTGATTTCTTCAGTATTTGCTTCAGGGGCTCCTTTCCTTTGTCTTCTAATCCTCTTTAGAATACTTTTTTTCACTTGCTAATTATGGCTCTACTTCTAGGAACTAGGGAGGCTTGGCTTTTCTATGTTTTGCCCTTAGCCGACTGCAAGCTAAGATTGTGATTTCTATCAGTCTGCTTTACAAAAACATTCTACTGCAATCAAAATTTTTTGGATGCCATATAGTTTGTTATCAAAGGATTTGACCTGAAACTCCTTGTAGTAAGAGTGAATTAAAAAGAGCAGTTTCTACCTTTTTACCTCCCAGAAATATTTTGAGAAAATATAAATGATTGGGATAGTTTTTTGGTAGCTTCTACATAAATTCAAGGTTATTATTTTAATAACCAAGATGAAATCCTGTCTTTGAGAGAGGTCTTTCTGGGCCCTTTGTGCCCAAGCCTGAGAGGCAGATACACAGTGAGGCAGGTTAAGAGCTTCGTCTCTAGAGCCCTGCCCTGCCTTGCCATTTAGTTGGGTGGCTTTGGATGATAATTAAAATGTGTATGGCTCAATCCCTTCATTTGTAAAGTAGGGATGATAATAGCACCTATTCTAGTTGTTATGAGATTTAAGTGAGTTAATGTATATAGAGCATATAGAATGATTCCTGGAACCTATTAACTGCCATATAATGAATGGTTAGTTATTATTAATAGCATTTTTTGGAAATGTTAATAAAATAAATTATGTCAAGTAAATTGTTAATATTGGCAATACTTGGATTAAAAATTGTGGCTTTATACCTTTGTTTTAGGTATATTAACTATTACCTTTTTCTCATTATTTTGTTTACATTTTTGAAGGTTTCCCAATGAGTGGATCATGATGACCGTATTTTAGGGACTTGCCATAGTATGGCTGCTTCCCGATCTACTCGTGTTACAAGATCAACAGTGGGGTTAAACGGCTTGGATGAATCTTTTTGTGGTAGAACTTTAAGAAATCGTAGCATTGCTCACCCTGAAGAAATCTCTTCTCATTCTCAAGTACGATCAAGATCACCAAAGAAGAGACCAGAGCCTGTGCAAATTCAGAAGGGAAATAATAGTGGGAGAACTACTGATTTAAAACAGCAAAGTACTCGAGAGTCATGGGTAAGCCCTAGGAAAAGAAGACTTTCTTCAGAAAAAGATAATATAGAAAGGCAGTCTGTAGAAAATTCTGAGAAAAGGCAAACGGAACCTGTTTCACCAGTTTTAAAAAGAATTAAGCGTTGTCTTAGATCTGAAGCACCAAACAGTTCAGAAGAAGATTCACCTGTAAAATCAGACAAGGAGTCAGCAGAACAGAGAAGTACAGTAGTGGACAATGATGCAGATTTTCAAGGGACTAAACGAGCTTGTCGATGTCTTATACTGGATGATTGTGAGAAAAGGGAAATTAAAAAGGTGAATGTCAGTGAGGAGGGGCCACTTAATTCTGCAGTAGTTGAAGAAATCACAGGCTATTTGGCTGTCAATGGTGTTGATGACAGTGATTCAGCTGGTGTAAACTCTGATGACTGTCAGCCTGATGGGAACACTAAACAAAACAGCACTGGTTCCTACCCGTTGCAGGAAAAATCAGTAGCTGAAAATGGGGATTCGGACACCCACACTTCAGTGTTTCTTGACAGTAGGAAGGAGGACAGTTATATAGACCATAACGTGCCTTGCACGAATTCAGAAGTGCAGGTCAAGTTGGAGGACCACAAAAGAGTAACTGCCTGCCTGCCTGTGGAGCCTGTTAATCAGCTGACTACTGAGCCAGCTACAGGCCCATTTCCTGAAATTCAGTCTTTAAGGGATTCTGAGGAGGAAGTAGATGTGGTGGGAGATAGCAGTGCCTCAAAAGAGCAGTGTAATGAAAATACCAGCAACGCCCTGGACACAAGACTTGAGAGTATGCCAGACTCCGGAGAACTGGAACCATCTTCTATTCTAGACGGTGTGTCAGCTCAAACGATGTCTTTATCAGAACCTCAAGAACATCGATATACTCTGAGAACTTCACCACGAAGGGCGGCCCCTACCAGAAGTAGTCCCACGAAAAACAGTTCTCCTTGCAGAGAAAATGGACAATTGGAGGAGAATAATCTGAGTCCCAAGGAAACAAATGTAACTGTTAGTGATAATGTAAGTGAGTCTCCCACAAATCCTGATGAAGTTTCTCAGAATGATAAAAGGATATGTTGTGACTCTGAAACTTATGGGAGTGAAGGACAAAGTAAGCCACCCTCGGAGGCAAGACTCAATAGTGGAAATTTGCCATCTGCCAAAGAGAGTGCCAATCTGCACATTACAGAAGAGGAAGATGATGATCCTGATGTTTATTACTTTGAATCAGATCATGTGGCACTGAAACACAACAAAGAGTATGTGTAAATATGGTAACCATGAATTCTGCTTTGTTTATTATTCCCCAAGTTTTCAGTATTCGTGAATGTCTATTCTTAGCATTTTTATTACAGCTAAAAACTAATGCTTTAGCTGAAGTTTTAAGTTTAACATAATTTTCTCATCTCATTAAAAAAAAATCTGCCAAAACAAGAAAGACTTTAAAACTCAACTTTTATTTTCTCAATGGCAATATGGTTTTCTAGTTTTGGTATTTCAACATGTCTCAATTAGAAGTGACATGTAGAAACTTGGTTGATGATGTTTTTGTTTTTAATAAGTTTTATGTCATTTGACTTAATTTATAAAATGGGAAAAGAATCTGCTCAATAATTGACATAGAGCATTTGAGATTGCTTTTTCCTAATTCTAAGTTATAAGGGGAGATTGTATCTTAAAATAATATTAGTTCTTAATTTTTTTGATGAAGGTACTTTATAAAATAAAGAATTCAGAGTCCAAATTTATCAGTTTTCTTAAATTTCCTTTGAAGAATTGGAGCTAATAATCCTGAAAGGAACTATTAACAGTGTTTATCATAGATCAGCAATAGTAAAAGACATATATATGTTAATCATCTTTACTTTTGCAGTGTAGGCTTTTGAATTAATATCACAATCAGATTATATAAGCTATGTAAAAATACTGATCTGAGGAATCTTTGTAATGTTTTTTGTTATGACAGTTGCCAGATCATGGTATGCAACAGACCAAAGTATTAAATCTTGGTTGTGGAACATAATAATCTTTTTGCGATGCATTACAAATAATTCATATTTGTATATGGTAATTTGGTGTCCTTTTAGCATAGATCTCCCTTCTGAAATTTTTTTCTGTTTTTTTTGTAAGTAATATCGTAATATTGGGTTTAATAGAAACATTGTATCTGAGCATTTTATTCATTATTTTGTGGAATGCTTTAGCATTGTCATATGTTTGAAATGTTTGAAGTCCAATTTGAGAAAGAAAAACAGCTCATAAAAGTAGAGTTGTTTAACTACAAGTGCAAGAGAGCAGAGCATGTGTCTTGAGGAAATACCAAAACTCAAGAAATGTGCATTTTTACAAAATAATATTCTGTTATTTCTATTCTTTCCTTTTTATTGGTCCTTTGGCAAAAGAGATACTCTCTTAAGGCTTAGCTGGTTATTGATGGTGAAACATATTTTCCCATGAATTCATTAATGTTACTTTTTGGTAAGATCTCCCTTCATGATGATTCTGAAGGATGATGTTCCTATCCAACAGTTGTTAAAAAAATGATGTTCCATATTCCTAAATCTTGAGAATGACAGCATTATAGTTTCGTGAGTTCCTTAGGATATACAAAGTCATTTGAATTTCCATAGCAGTTGCTTTATTAGGACAGTGTTTTCAAATTAATGCCGCATTGGGTGACTTTAGGTAAAAGGAAATCACTTCTTGCTTTTTTGCCTTGTTCCAAATCTTTTGAAAAAGTACCTTTTGACATTTCACTTTTAACTCCCTCCCCTGCGAAGAAAACAAATTATGAGAAAGGAGAAATATTGATTAATATTTTGGTTAGAGATAATTAAGGTAAATTGGGAGAAGGTGTTTGATCATGTCAGATGTAATCTGTTTGAGTAAAGCTCTATTTCTATGCTTTTTGTCTAGAGCCAAGAGATGGTTGGATATAATGTTGGCTCTTTTTAACCCAAATTGTCGTTGTTAAAAATAGCATTATATTACCTGTTTAAGTGCTTTTAAATCTCAAATATATTTCTGGCAGTTTAAAAATGTTAAAAGGCCCTTGAGGTAAAGGGGAAAAAGACAAGTTGGATAGATGGATTGCTGTTCTGTACACACAGATGTACATATTCCTGTTAAGTATTTTTCTTCTTTTCATGCTGGAAAATTTCTGCACATAATTGCCTTTTGAAACTAGGAAATGGGCATTGCCCAGCCTACACAGAAATATCTCTACCACTAGTGAATGAGTACTTCCTGGTAGCCAGTTTAAAAAAATACGTATATGTTATGAATAGAAAACAATGAGCATGGCATAATTCTTTGTCTGGGGAGCCAGCAGGAGAGAGCTCTTCTTTATTCCAGTTGCAACTCTCTTCTAAATTAACATGGATTATTTAATCAGAAACCTTCTAGCATTTAGCTAAGTTTTATCCATCTTGTTTGTAAGGATATCACATATAGGGTCATCTAAACACTTGTAAATGATTGAAAAGATACTGTGTGTAGAGTCTTATCCTTAGACCGGATTCATGGTAATTAGGCCATAGGCCAGTGAAATTAATCTGCAAATGTTTTAGGTACTTGTACCCTGTTTCTTCTCTTCTCCAGGACATAAATCTACAGTGTGCTTGTATATATTTGTTTTTCCAAATGGAAAACTCCTCTGTGAGCAAGGGACTAATGAGTATCTTTTTCTCTGGCAAGAGTTCAGCTCTGGATTGTTTTACCAGATGTGCTTTCTCAAAGATTAAGGGATGGGGAATCAAAATAAATATACTTTATCTCAAACGCTTTGATCTCAAAGTTGATGAAATCTCTTATAGTGGTAGATAATACCTAGTGACTCCCTAATGGGCCTAAATAGCAAGACTGACTGTGGATTGCCCTTTCTGTTTGGGAATTGACGTTCTTGCTGATTTTTGAATCAGAAGAACTGAAACATCTCTTAAGTTTGAAGTTCTGACTCTAGGGAGAGCAGGTGTGGAAGAGTTTATAGGCCCTGGTTTTTAACATCAGAGATTTTTCTTCCAATTCAGAAGATGCTCACTGGAAAAGAAATTTTCAGATGAAAATGTGATTTGCTCTGTTGCCTCTGAATTCTCATTATACAAGAATATTTTTAAAAATACATATTTGAAGGGCCTTGGAAAGCTTCATTTGATGATGTTGTAACCTTTCATGAACCAGATAGAGGGTGAAAAAACTTTAGGGTTTCTAGATTCTTGAGGTCTTGCAAAAGGTTAACTCATTGATAACATTGCTAATGTTTATACCAGTTTTTAAATTTCTACATAATGAAAGTATAAGAGTAAAAGTGCTTATCTGAGAGTATTCATGTAGTTTTCAGGTAAGATCTTATTTTCAAGCCATATTAAAGAATATAAACAAGAATTGTAGTTTCAAGTTTGGTCCTCTGAAAATGTTAATGTACTAAATAATGATGTTTTTTTTGGTGAACCAGGCTTAAGATGAATCATTTGATATCTTCATCAATTTCAGAAGTCTGTAGAGAAAGTCCTCATCAGATTCACTTCTCGTGAGACTATGTTTGTTAAAGTGAATTCTTTCAAGGAGCCAGAAAACTCGAGGACTAGGCATGGATTTTGCTTACAAAGCACTAAAGGAGATAAAATAATTTTACATTTGTATTGTGCTTTGTAATTTATAAAACATTTTCGTATTTGACATAACAACTCAGAAGTAGACAACATAGGTGCATTGTGTAGTTTTACATTTCCTAACTCATGATTAAGGCTTTTAGGTTGTTTATTTAAATAATCATGATAAATTGCTGGTAGAAATGGGATTAGAGCTTCTAATTCATAGTCTGAACTACAAGTAGTTAACTCATCCAATAAGAACTTACTCCATGGACTTTCGGCTTTCTACGTTGAGAACTCTCATGGAGCAGATCTTGGGTACTCGGTTTTCAAAATGCTTTAGCCCTAGTTTATACACTGTAATTGTCATCATGATTATCTGTTTTTGTCTTTTAGAGAAGCAGCATTATAAATAAGTAATCTGTTCTTTTTATTGAATGAAATACATTCATGTTCATTGCAAAGAACATTTTGTTAGTATGACTGTGAAGAATAACTGGCATGTACAAACTAGGGAATAAAAACTACAGTGAAAGCTTGACTTTAAAGAGAGGATTTGGATAATTTCCAAAAAATACATGGGGGTGGAGTTTAGCGTGTGGTTAGGTGTATTAAAGTTAGAGATTACTAGGAAAAACTGTGCTTGGTGTACTTTTTCAACTCACTGGAAATAGTTGTGTATGGCGGCGTGCTGGGACTGTGGTCTCTTCTCCGAGTACCGCATGGAGGGGGAGGCATGAACTGGTTTGTGCAAGTTAGGAGGCGCTTCTGGAATTAAGAATACTGAAAGACAGACATAAAATTAGATTAACAGCTTGGGCTGGGTGTGGTGTCTGCCCTCTGACTTGAGGGACAGAGAGAACCTGCCCTCTGATGAAGGGACAGGCACAGAGAGAGCCAGCTCTGAAAGCTGTTTATTATATACTCGAATTATAGCAAGTTACATCACATCTGGGTGGGCCTTCAACATCATGAGATCCATCCCTTTAACACTGGGTGGGAGAGTCAGACTGAGTGGGGTCCAATTTCTTGACTGGTCCTGCCTTCAGGGTGTTGCTTTGCCCTCGCTCTGAATTTCAGCTGAGGTAAATTATTCCAGTGTTTTCTAACAGCCCTTAACAGTTGTGTAATCCTGTAGCCAGATTGCCCCCACGAGGGAGATAATTGGGGCCGGGGATCAAGACCTGCTGCCTAGGTACATACCCTTGAACAGGAATCCCTAACCTTCAGTCCCAGGGCCAATGCTCTAACCATTGAGCAACTGGCCAGGACTCTTTGGAGGTGGGGGAGGGGGGGCGCTTGCTTTCTGGTTTGGAGGCTGTGTGTCCTGTAAGTTACCAGATATCTAAATCTGAATGGAGAAATGTTACAGCCAAAGGTGATCCTGAGTAGTGGGGGGTGAAAGGATTGAGAAAAGACTGACAAGAGAATGAAAGTTGGATCTTGGTGGGACGCTGCTCCCTGATGAGGAGACAGCGCCAGCGCCCACAAGCCGTGTCTTTATTTTATAGCAGGTGCCATGAGTTAAAGTAGGGGCGTGATCAAATTGTTTACAGCATTCTCATGAGTTCCAACCCCACTCAGCTACATGCACCTGAACTCTAGCACAAGGCATGTGGGGCCACGTGTTTGGACCGTAGGTTCAAGCTTACAACCACAGCCGTTGG